AAACACATACCCCTTCCATACATACACATATGTACTATGTATACCGAAACCACTGGATACCTTATATAAACTACTCCCCCTCTTCTCATCCTCTCTCAGAAAGGATGCGAAGGAATTTATATAACCCTGTGTATTAGTACGGCAAAGATGAAGGCACTATGGTTGTATGGGGTAGTAACGGGCACTAATGTACATTTAATGTCTTAACTTTGAATGCGGACCAACTCGCCAGAGATAACATCTTAAATATGTTTTTGCATTTATGCAGCCGAGTGCACGCTACTGAGAAATGAAAGAAACAAAAATGCTGAAAGAATAATATAACAGGATTCGAAATGAGCAATGAAAGAACCGTAAAAGATCGAGAATGAATGCACAATCATCGAGAATTTTATCACAAAAAATACAGTACTATATTGATATTAGTTATGTGTGAAAGGTTTACAAAACTAGATTTTCTTTTGTCAAATTATTACAATCCATTGAGGAAATGTTGAGTTATCATATACTGGGTTTTCTAGAACTCTCAGGGAATCTCTTGAATTGTGGAAGACCATTCAACTCTGAGTAGCAAGTATCTCTTCGCCTTTTAACTCTACGGCTTCGTTAACGAGTTATTAATGTATCAAGTTGAAGAATGACTGGGGCGATGAAGTGTTATGGAAAAAAAATTCGATTCCAATGATGAAGTAAACCGAGAGGCTGATGGCGTTATCAAAAAATTGTATTTCAGTATCTACAATATCGTAAGTCCAGCTGAAGATCGTCGTTATTGATCAACTTGATTAATTAATAATCATTAAAGCACCATCAAAACTGGTACTTGATTTTAGTGAAAATTATTGACAACTAAACCTTTTCTGATTCTCATGTATTTTACTGCAATCTCGTTTTCTCTCTGAATTTCAGTACCTTCTGGTACTGAAATCCAAAGATTATTACTGGAAACCAAAAACATTTCATCCTACCAGATATTCTGATAAGTTTCGAAAATTTGTCTTCGAAAAACGCATTTTCAACATGCGAACGCTCAATGTGCGTCTTTTACGCAGCAGATTTGAAGGGCAGAAACGAAATACCCCTGTGAAAATCCGTAATGAGCGACTGCTCAATGTGTTCTATAATCCATATTTCCACCGTCTACAACAAACAAGATACACTGCACAAAGCCTATGTCCGGTTTGCGAATAAAACCAAAGCGTAGATGTACTTGAACAGGTTGCTAGGAGAAATATGTAGTGAAGACGGGAACATGCCACATTTTTTTATGAACTTTCCAAGTGGAAACTCAGAGCCAGCTGATGTATGATATTGATCAATAAAACGTGATATTGATAAGTCTTGGATCAGTAGTGAAACACTTGTTTAGATCCGAACCTGATCCGGGTGGCAGTTTCCCATCCGGGTCCAGTCGTAATTCGACCGATGAATATAGGATCAGCACCGAGCAACATTGTATCCAGGCACTCGTGAGATCTTAAGGGGAGACTGCTTTGAGTTTTAAAAGTCGCGGGCTATTGGAATGAGATTTCCCATAGATTAAAGATCGATTATGTGCGTCTAGTAACGAATAATAAGTTTTACCCCGCAAACGCTTAAAATGTTTAAAATAGTCCAGGCCCTCCAATTATCGAGCTACAAAGTTTTTTTTTATAAAATGTTCAGAAAAATATTTGCAATAACAATTACGACTTAGGTTTTTGAAATTTAGCTCCTAGAAAGCTAATTTCGTTATTATTTTGATAAAAAAATGCACCATTCATGTAACATAGCCCGAACAATATTTCCGAAAGAATCGAGAATTGTTTCGCCAAGGATTAGCAATTATGAAAATAATTCTAATGGAGTTGTAAGTTCCATTAGTTCGACGACTCGATGTTAACCGTGGGAAACGTGACACGCCGAGTAGGTTCTTTGTGTCACTAGGTTGGAAAGAAATGAGGGAAAATTTGAAAATGAAAATGAATAATTGCCAAATAACTTTCACTGGCGCCAGATTTTACATTTTGAAAGGAACTAAACTGAAAGCACAAAGAAGGGTTGTAAGGTAATATAAATTTCTATATAGAATTCTGAAGAATGTTGGGAAAATATTCTTAATTAAAATTCTAAGAATCTTGGGAATTTACTTTTGTTCAAATTCAAAGGACTGGGAAAAATGTCGAGGCCCAAAAATCCATTAAGGTCCTTGAGAGATTGTAAATAATAGATTATTTGAGACAAAAAAAGAGAGAGAGGAGAATATAGTTATGGGGGAGAGTATGGTACGGAAGGATGGGAATGGAAGACTTCCGCTGAGACAATTAAATATATTTTACAATAAAATAATCAAATGTGCGTATCGAAACGCAACGAGAATATATTTTTAATATTTTAAGGGTAATTTTTTTGCCCATTTAACATAAATGGCGCACATTTTTATATTCAAAAAAACGAAATTAGCTGTGTAAGAGTCGAATTTCAAAAAACTAATTCGTAATTGTTATTACATGCATTCTTTCAAAAGTTAAAAAAAAATCTCTGTAGTTCAAAAATTGGAAGCCCTAGACTATGTTTAACATTTTAAACGTCTGGGGAGGAAACGGACAATAAACAATTTATTTTTTTGTACTAATTATACGTTTTTAGACATATATAATCGATCTTCAATGCAAGAGATATCTCACTCCAATATCCCACGACTTTTAAAACTCATAGTAGTCTCCCTTTAACTGGATCCTAATCTAATAGTTTAATTAGAATATTTTAACGAGCATGCAATCTGTACCTGAATTAAATTTCTACTCGGACTAATATTCCTCAATGAAATAATAACAAAATTCAAAAATAGCGACGTCTGATTGAAAGATGAATAATTTTGAAGTGTGTTTCTGAATGAACAAAATGAAGAATACGGAAAGAAACAACTGTATAAAAATAGATGTAAAGAAATTGAGGAAACACTCGAACAACACAGCATGATTGCACTCTAATACATGAAAAATTTTGGAATACAAAATATTTGTCAACATGAAACGATGATAACAGGGTCATGCATGTTAATTGAAGCCCGGAGGGATCCAGCGACAACTGCATCAACTATTAATATGTATTTAAATTACTGCATCAAAGCTTACAACCCTATCAACTGTGAGACCCGCTGAAATATCCATGGTTTATTGACGAAACTCCCGCACTCCATCATGATTGATACTGCTAACACTCAATATTATTAACAGTTTATTTGAACTCCTGGGATATGTGCACCCGCAGTGTCACAGATTTAGTGGGTGGGTTCTACTAGATCTCAGGGGTTTTACGTAATAGATCTGGAAATGTGGGAATGCGCCATCCAATACCGCATCCTTCGTTAGTTTCCTGGGGAAGGAGACGAGGGAACAGAAGTGGCAAAATTGTTTGACAAACTCAACTGCTATTCCAGTGACAGCGTGCTTCGTGAAGTAAGAACCTGCATTTGACACCTTCCAATACCATGCTGTCACGTGTCAAGGGCAGAAATATTCAAGCAATTATTGTCGTTTTTCTGTGAAGAATTTCTTGAAATTTGAATAAAACAGATGGAGGTTCAACTTCTCGGAAGGGGCGATCAAACCAAATTTGGGGATCCTATAGATTAAATGAAATCATTGCAATAGCTTCCTGGAAATGTGTTAAAATATCAAAAAGAAAGAACAGGAGGAAATGAGCGTAGGAAAGCCCTCCATCATTCTTAAGCAAAAAATAGGAAATTGACTTTTTTCTATCATTCCCGTATTAGAATATTGAATGTATCATGCTATTATTTTTAGAACATCCTCAGAATAGGCGAAGGAAGGAGGTTGTACCAATTTTTTTCGTTATGCTAAAGCCGTCCCTAAAAAATCTCTTTTCAAAATCTTACAGAAAAAAGTTTCTAGTATCCAGTAAAAAAAATTCTTAATTTAAAATGAATAAGAATACACAAAAAAAGTCGTCCTGAATTAAGTCCGATTGAATCATGCCAGGAGCCGACTTATTTTATGTCGGATTGACGGCCTGAATCAAGTTGGACTCGGACAAATAAAATAAAATCTATTCATAAAAACTGACAAATTATGCAAAACTGTATAGAATATTCACTGTCTATAATTTTTATCGGCTTCCGTCACATTATCGGATGAAAATTTTACATCTCAAGATAAATCCGCTGAAATGACCTTGTCTCGTTAAGCAAGAAATGAAACGGAAAATATTTAACTGTGGAATTTCTCCCAGGATTTGAAAATGTGGAAGCTATGGCACTACTAACCCCAAATAATATTGAATGTGACGGGGCGTTACATTTCATATTATTCGGAGGCCTCACAGACTCCAAGAAAGTATTAAAAAATGAGCTAATATTCTCTTTGGTTTCGCGTAACATTATTCAATTTTTTATACCCTGTAAAAAATGCATCCATTGATTTAAAAATAGTTACAAGTTTCGCACGGTTTACGACATCGTCTAGTGATTTTCCAGGGAGCTTTTCAAGTTTTGATTGAACTACCCCGTGTCCCTTGCCGGCCGCAGTTAGTCTCGGCGTACCGGAGAAAACTCGAAAGTACTGGGTAACGAGAGCTTACCAAGCCAATTAAGGACGTTTCAATTATTCGCAACATAATTTCGTTGAAACTTAAACAACTGGATAATGAAAAAATGAATAAATAAACAAACATTCATTAGTGAATAGAAGGAAAAATGCAAAAATTAATCATTCCTTACCAATGTATGTGTGTCCAAGAAATAAAGCTATTTGTAACGAAACAAAATTCAAGGGCTCATGGGGGATGGTGAACATTTTTATTTTAATGTCACTGCAACGAACTCTACCCACAAACTACAGTGAGGGCACCTGGGTGCTCCCGAGAATTTCCGTCCTCTCACCAATTTTTTTGTATTCCGTTACTTTTTTTTTTGTTCCTGATCTTAACGAGTGTTATGAAACCGGAGAAACAAATGTGCAATGTTGCTTCTGGTTTGAGTTGCTAGTGACTAAATTTACCTTGACACATCACGGTGATGACATGAAGTATGCTGATACTGAGGTATCGATTTTTCCTGTATCCTTCTGCCATTGTAGTTCAACTGTATGTCCTAAAATACCTGTAAAATATAAAAAAACGATTGCAAATCAGCGATCAATTATTCAGGATGGACGTTCAGTTATTGGGGCACTTAACTTATAAGTTTGTGACGGAATTTTTAAGAATCCCGCCACCTGTACTTCTAGAAACGACGAAATCGACAGTTTGTAAGGGTGAGTAGAGAAATATTGAGAGAGTCGCGAATATTGCACCCCTAACAGAGGGAGATGCGTTAACCTTCCCCTCCCCCTCGGCAAGAACTTCCAGATCATTAGGATCTCCAACGACGGTTAAAATTCGTTGAAACTTGAATAAATAATAAAATAAACCCCCGCGAGAAGGCGTTAAAAATATATATAAATGATTAAAAAATAAATGAAATCCATTCGGTTCAGCTCTTTATAATTTTCTAGTTTTCATTATGATTTGGGAAAGAATTACGGATTTAATTCAAAGAAATTTGCGATTTAGATCGAATATTTTCGGTTGTCGTTAACAATCCCTCGTAAACCCCCCGATTGAGACCGGTGGAATCCACCGAGGTTCGTATGCTGTACTTCCCGGTGAGATCTCTGGATCTCGTGGATGAGCACAAAGGTTGAGCTGAAATGCTCACGCCCCCTAGTTCTGAAATTTTCGTGGAGCTGCTGGAGTCATCTAGTGAGGTTGGAAGGTCACACAGGCAGGTTTAGTCCACTTGCCTGGATGAATCGCCATGGACTATTACGGCTTTTCTTGTGTTACGGCTTTGGATGTTGATGACTTCCAGCATCTCCCGGGAGAGTGCTATTTGCGACATCCGTACTTCCTCAGGGAAGAAATTAAAATCACAACAAGTAAAGGCGAACATCAGCCTATTATTCTCCATTCCGTTCCATTCTAGTTTATAATTTTCATTTAATAAATTCCGTTCAGTTCCGAGTTAAATAGTTGAAAGAAAAATTAATAATAATTACCCTTCTTGAATTTGAACCGGGATTCCCACGCTCCCATTTCCATCGACCGCGAAATTGATTCCAGGCGACGAGCCAGGCGGCGCTCGATGCGCCCGGAAATCAGCTGCGAGTCACCGGCCGATTGGAACAAGAAGTTGAATTCATGCAGCCACCAAGTAAACACCCCACAGTGCTGAGGCCCAGTTTTACACCCCTTTGCCTACGCGAGGAGCTACACCGGGGACATCATATTTTTTTTATCGTTATTCTACATCGCTTCGACCTGGTTAGGGTATACTGCGATGATGATCAAGACTTTAAATGGATAGATCGTACCATTCTACCGGGCCGTGGTTTGAACTCGGAACCTTTCGCATGTGAGGCAACGAACTTACTGCGCCAAGCCACCGGGCAAGCGGGACATCATATCGAGGGAAAAATGGTGAGTATGGCTCCCTTACCCCGAGCACCTGTCTTCCCCGACAGTAGTGTTTTTCTCCAGTGAACAACCCCGGAGGAAATTAGGCACATGTGCTCCTCGTACGAGCGACGCCATAGTGCCGTCTCCTGAAAAAATTAACTTGTGGAGAACAATTAATGCACCTCCGGCGTGCATAATTCGTTCCCACTAGGTTCCGTGACCCTCCCCATGAGTTTTGGTGCAGCAATAACAGTGCAATGTTCCACAAACGAGCTAAAAGTGCACACACGCATCCCATGTGCCCTGGATGTTGCTGTGGTGCATAGACACGTATTCAGGGGTTAGCTGAAGCCCCGAGAGCCCACACGAGTGCTCAGAGTGCAAAACCCTTGATTTTTCCCTTTGTGACTCGCCCCAGGACCCTTGTGAGAGTCCTCTAGGTGCCTAGATGATCCTTCAGCTCGCCAATTTGCGGTGGAAGCGGAGAGATCCTGGCCCAGAGCGTGGACATCGCCCCGGTTACCCACCCTCGCAAAAATCTCTCTCTCTAATCGTTTTTCTCTCACTCACTCTCGGGAAAAGGTTATTTTATTTTAAAATCTCGGCTTTTGGGAAGAATTTTGAGTCCATTTAATAATAAAATACCATTGATATTTCAATTGTTGCTCGAATTCTCTCTTCTTTTCTTTTTCCAAGAATATCATTAGAGTACGTGGGTTTCTTATTCGGATTTTCACTCCAGTGGATTACTTCTCGCCGCAGGTCCATTTCCCGACTCTTTTCTAAGACCGAGCAACCGATTCCACCCCGCTCTTCGAATTTTCTCTCGAGCTAGCTAGGCAAAATTCCGCAACCTCTTCCTCTGATTTTCCCAATCCTAGTTATTTTTTTGTGTTTTCTCGTTTCATTTCCCTACGTCTACAGTTGCGGTTTTGTTGATTGCGCGTTACCAAAAATCGGCTAGCGCCCAACGACGGTTTCTCGCACGAGTAACTGATATCTTTAAGGATAATCGGGCGAGGAGGAAATGTAGGAGGTGAGGCGGAGAGGTTTCTATTTTTTTCCTGCAGAAAACCAATCGCTGAACAAAAAAAATTTTCCCATTCGGATTCAAAATTCAGGCAATATTAGGGAGAATCTCCGGTTAAAAATTATTTTTGGAACTAATCAATAGTATATTGTGCATCAAGGGCGGAAAGTCATGTTTTCCCGCCCGAGGTACACATGCTATTTATTAACATGCCTGCAAAGAAAAGTTCGTATTTTGCTCTTTGATGAGAGGAGGAAAGTGAGTACTTTCCATCCGACGGCGGAAAGTACTCACTTTCCTCCCGCTCATCAGGGAGCAAAGTACGAACTTTCCGTGCAGGTGTGTGAAAAATTTATTTGTTCCACGCATTGAATGGTTTTCAGGTTTTTTTTTTTTTTAATAAATGAAGAAAAATTAATCCATGCGAAAAAGTGGCAACATCGTCGGTAGTTTTTTTTTTCACCACGAGCTGGTACCACTGGCTCGAGGGAGCTCCAATCACAACGCTTCGTCGCTCTCTCTCAAGAGAGGTTTAAATTGACCGCGCTACCGCCACCAATCGGTACGTGGGACATTGCTGCTCGTTTGGGCTGCCTGCGCAGAAATTTCATTTTTCAGTACTTTTTTCGCGATTGTTAATAAACAATGCTCCTAGGCGACAATCTTTTTCACTCAAAAAATCATTGATCACATGTTCCAAATGTGTCTAAAGTTTCATGACTTTGGCTGCATTTTTTCCTTGGGTTTTGCAGTTTTTTTTGTAATTTCCATAAGATCACGGGTTGAATGACCACTTTTTCAAAAATTCATAATAAATTAACCATGCGCCGCGGCAGTCTGAAACTTTGCACACGTCTTTTCCATCATTTCAAGAATACGTAACCAAAAGGCTGCTTTCCTTCTAACCTTCCGGGCTCGCCCGCTTATCCTTAAGGTTTTGGTTTTGGAGGAGTTTGGGAAGGTAGGATCGGAAGAGACCGAATGTGACGAGTTCCGGCTGTGCTGCTTGGATTTATGGATTCGGCATTGGGAAATTCGTGTTACTTCTTAGGGTTATGGAAAATAAACGTCTCAAGTCTTTGGCAAAAGGATTGTTGTATCTTTTTACCACATCGATGGCTTATTTACTAAGTTTAAATAATTTCAGATATAGGTGAAACAAAGCATAATCGAGATACGCGGCAGCGTATCGGCCAAGTCAATTTCAAATCTCCGAAATCCGAGAAAGTAGGCCGAGAGCTGCCGCGTAGATATACACGACACAACTACCCCCTCCACTACTCCCGAACAAGAATAATTCAATAAAATGGAAATGCACAAGATTACGGGGAAATTAATCTTAGTTTTACTATATAAATCATGTATGCCCTTCCCATTTACGTTTTTATTTCTTTTCTCCGATTTATATTTAAAAAGATATGATCATAACAACAAGTCGTTTTCTGTATTTTCGCGAATGAGATTATTTTCTGTCAGTTTTTTGTTCCAAAGTTGGTCTCCTTGCGTGACGTCATCATTTTATTAGAAAATCAGAAGAGAACTCCATCTATTGGTATTGCCATGTTGGCTAATTTGTCTCGGTTGAGTATTGCGCATGCGTGTCTCCTGGAAAGTGACGAGACGGAGAAAGAATTTATTCTCTTTCTCTGTTCTCAACATGGGTGACAATATCAACGATCCTTTCATCGATCCACTCTTTGACGACGATTTTGTGAGTAAAACAATCATTTGCATATTATTTTGTGCATGAAAAAACTATTTACAATCACCGTCTTCAACTTTCATCCAAATTGCCTCGTGTTTCTCATCAAATGCATTCAAATTCCGATATCTTTGGTCCACCTGACATTTTCGAGGTTAGAATTCTTTCTGAAAAATACAACAACTTTTCTAACATTTATTCAACAATGTTCAACCTTGTTGTTAGTCGGCCATTAAACATAGAATCGAATAAATGTTTGGAAAGTTGTTGTATTCTTCATAACCTCATAAAATGTCAGGGAATATTTTTCATTCGTAATTTTCTCATCAAAGAAAAAGTTGATTTGACATATTCGAATTATTCTGATAATGAATGATTTTAGAAGAAAACGTCAGAACTGAAATTGAAGATGAAATTGACGAGTACTCAATGTATAATTGAGGTTTTGGGGCATATCTCAGAATCTAATGAAGATAGAAGAATTTTCAAGAGTACCTGTTTGATGAGGAACTAGATTTAGGGTGGATTGGGAGGTTAGAGGATCGTCGGTGTGAAATAATGGTTGAGAGTCTTGAACTAATATCCACGTACATTTATTCTCGAGTTGGAACCACGCTTTGTCAAATTTACAAAAACACCTTGTCACTTGTTGATCGTACTGAATTAAATTAATTGTCTATAGTTTTAGCACTGTGAGTCACTGGTTGAATGGTCAATAACTAACGTGATTTTCTTTTACTGAATTTCTATCGCCGAGTTAATAGACGCTAATGTACTGTGGTCTAAACTCTACAGAGTTGAATTCCATTCAAAACGTGCTATACGACAGACCGTGATGTACTGACTTGCGTTGATTTACGGTGACTCTACTAGACCTGAGCGTTGACCCGGAAAAGGCCGATGATTTTCGTAATTGGCCGAGCTGATCGAA